AAAAAAAAAAAAAAAGAAGATTTGTTAGGTATTGTTTAGAATGACAAAAACTTGGAAATGATATGCATTCTAAACACTCTTCCATGCATTTTGTTCAGTATATTTTGGTTTACAAATGTCATGTAGACATTAAATTCACTTTTGTGACAGTGTTAAGGATATGGGGACAAGGCTGACATAGCACGTGAAATGGTCAGAACATAAAATGTACAAAATAAGTTCCACATTGTGTTAAACTGTGGTTGCATTAAAAAGAAAAAAAGAAAAGAACTCTACCAGGCAGATGAATATGGAGGTGTAGTGGTTACACATTGGGCTACTAACGACAAGGTCACCCGGTAGAAACCAGCAGCCACTCTGCAGGAGACAGATGAGGCTTTCACTCCTGTGAAGACTTGCAGTGTAAGAAAGCCCACGGGCACAGTTCTGCTTTGCCTTACAGGGTCACGATGAGTCACAATTGACGTGATGGCAGTGAGGTTTTTCGTTTTTGTTTTCAGTTTTATTCCTGGAGGGTAGCATCACCAATAATTTGTCCTGTTCTTTGTATGACCTTGAGCCACATGAAACTCCCGAAAATCTAATCGAAGCATCCAAAGTAGTCACTTCGTATGGTACCACCAGTGTGGAATGTTCCTGTTTGTACAGTACGCCTGTCTTCCTTTTCAAAGCATGGACAGGATTGCACAGCGTGTCCAGGAGGGTAGACGTGATGAGCCCCACAATTTGGACGGTGGTAGCAGCTTTGTTGTCCTTTCACAGAAGGACACAAGGCGGCTGAGTCGATATGGACTTGATGGCACTGGGTTTGGTTTTGGGTTTTACACGTATTAAGACTCTTAGCAAAAGTCACCTGCGCCAGTGTGCTCCACTAAGACACGGAAATCATTTTATTATTTAGTGGGATGAATTCAGGGAGAGAATAATAAGTGAGCAACAAGTCAGGAGTGTGGGTGCACCACACTCCTCCCTCTGCCCCCATCACTGGCTCTCTCTTCACTGCTCCCTAAGAAAGGCAAGCCTTTCTTTAGCTGGCTCGCTCGGCCCTCCTCTTCCCTCCTCTTTGACTTACTTGATTCCTTGCTCTATTTTTAGCTCTTTTCTCATTTAACGATTTCAATCTTTGCAGTTTATTGTTCTAGTAAAAGGCACATGTTTTTATTCCAGGCGTGAGGACTGATTTTATTTAGTTCCGGGGGTTAAAAAACGATCAGAACTGAAGTTCCTCCTGCACATTCCTCATCCCTCTGGGTGCTAGGAACCAGTGAGATCGTATCAGACGGCCAGGAATAGCCTGCAATCCCAGACATGCTGCTGGTTCTAGGGGGAGACACCTTGGCCCTTGAACTTCATGTGTCCTCCGTGAACAGGGTGCAGCCGGCTATTGATTTCCTCTCACCCAGCTCCCTTGGGTTCTACACATTTTAATTAAACTGAGGGGCCTGGGAGGGGGGGCTGTGACACAGTACAGCAGCTAACTTGGGGTCATATGGAAAATGAGGTAGTGGCCTTGGGTTTAATAGGACTTGGCTCGAATATTGGAGCTAACAAACAGCCGTTCGGGAAACTGGTATTTCCTCTTCCATTTAAAAAGAGACACCAGTCATATTGACATCATTTATATAGGCCAGTGAATGCTGAAACTATTGTTGGAGCCAGCTCAATTACTTAACCAAAGACATCGTTTAGAGACTACAGTCATTCCTATTTTTTCAAAGACAGACAATTACCCAGCTCACCCTGGGACTAGGCTTACATCAAGCGTGCCATCTTGACAAATATTGACTCTGTGGGTCCACGTTGATGGGTACTTTTGCCAAGTGACTTAGAAGACAAGGTTTCAGCACAGCAGAGGATGGATGGTGGGATGTGAATGTTGAGACCCATTTACTACTACTGCTTTCCCTCAACTCTGCTTGTGTCCTGGGCTATGCACTGAGCTGCTAAGTACCAGGTCAGTGGTCTAACGAACCAACCACTGCTCTGCAGAAAGATGAGGCGATTTAGCCATCGTTATTTAAAGTCTTAGAAACACAAAGGGGGCAGGCCTACTCTGTCCTATAGACTCACTATGAGTCAGAATCCACTCGTAGCAGTTTTTCCCTGCCCCTTGCCTGACTCTAGCCAAGACTCTTTCCAAGTGCTCGTAGTGGTTCTGATGTCTGGGTTGACATTCAGACATCAAATGCCCCTCAGACAGAAGGCTCAACCAGCACTCCCTGTTATCACCTCTGGGGGTGGCAAGTGTGCCCTGGAGAAAACAGATTATCCGCATTGCGTGGTCATGGGTATGCTTCACCTCCACAGCACTTACGTCATTTCCTTTGGCAAGTGAGCGAGGAGCCTTGATTCTCGAAGCATGCCGATTGTAGATCGCCAGTGGTGGTTCTCCAGCACAGACATATTCTAGGAAGAAAGAAAGCAAACGCTACATGAGGAGGAAGCCAGATACAGATCTTTCACGCTAAACAACAGCTCCACGGAGGCCAGTGGTGGCCAGCTGGTACTTGACAACACAGAGTTGCAACCAAAGAGACACACGCAGTAAAACCACATGGCCTATTCTGTAGGCTATCATGATGGGGGGGGAAGCAGGGAGGAATGAGGCTCGATGCCCCTGTTTGCAGGAGTTTCTTCTGGCAACATTGATTGTACAAAGAAGAGAGTGGAGCAGGTGACAACAGGTAGTTATGAATATGTGTGTGTGCTTGGGGTGGTGGTGGGGGAAGGGTGGTAGTGGCTCCCATTTGGGCGAACAGGGTTAGATTCTGGTCAGTGCCTCTCGTGGCCAACCATCACGGTGAGTGGAGACTGGTGTGGCTACTCCAACATTGAGCAGGCGCCAGTGGAATTTTCAGAGGAGGACTAAGAAGAAAGCCTGCTTTTCACCTACTACCTAGCCAGTGAAAACCCTCCGCGTCACACTAGTCTGATCTCTCAGGGCTCATGGGATGGTACAGGATAGGGCAGCTTTCCACTGTGTTGTGCATATGAGGCGTCTATGGGCTGTAAGACAACGCATAGCAACCTCATAGCTCGTTAGTGAGTTACAATAAAACACATGTTTATTAATAAATTTATTAAGATTGTATGTTATAATAAAAGGCGACCTTAAAACTCATCGATGAGCTCACCCATTGATGGCAGCTCACAACTACAGTGACATTCCTGACAATATTCCAGAGGTTTCTCACACACAGACGGAACTGACGATCTCTGGGCTGATTCAGAAGTACTGACCCTTGTTTCTCATGGCTGCTTTTAAAAAGCCCCCAGATTCTTGCTTCTGTTATCACCGGGGCAGTTGTGACATACTCAGCCTTCTGAGTCCCAGCCCATACAGTTTCGATGCAGCTGTTCTGTGGTGATTCATTTGTACACACACTAGAACTGGAATATCATTGCTGTGGAACCCAAACTCAAAGTCACCCCTCTGCCATTTGAACCACAGACTTTGAAGTCAGCATGCTAACACTAGCAGAGCCCCCCGATGGCTAGGGAAGTAACTCTCAATCTTCTTGATCAGTATATCGACATTTTAGTTCAACAGGTCTAAGAGACCAAATCTGTAATTGCTTCTTTCTTTAACTGTCTCAATATCTATTCCCTTGCCGGAACCTGTGCTATGCTCAGACTCGCCCCTGCTCTCACTGTTCCTGTTGTTAGGCCTTGTTGAGTTGTTTCCAACTCATAGTGACCCTATGTACAGCACAACACAGCACTGCCGAGTCCTGTATTTGAACCCATGGTTGCAGCCACTGTGTCAATCTGTCTCATTGAGGGCCTCCTTTTTCTTTTTCTTTTTTAACATTTTATTAGGGGCTCATACAACTGTTATCCCAATCCATACACACATCAATTGTGTAAAGCGCATTTGTACATCATTTCTCAAAACATTTTCTCTCCACTTAAACCCCCGACATTAGGTCCTCATTTTTCCCCCTCCCTCCCCTCTCCCCCTCCCTCATGATCCCTTGATAGTTTATAAATGGGCATTTTGTCATATCTTGCCCTGTCTGACGTCTCCCTTCACCCACTTTTCGGTTATCTGTCCCCCAGGGAGGAGGTCACATATAGTTCCTTGTAATCAGTTCCCTCTTTCCTACCCATTCTCCCTTTACCCTCCCTGTTTCGCCACTCACACCACTGGTCCTGTAGTGCTCATCTGGAGGGCCTCCTTTTTCGCTGCCTCTCTACCAACCATGATTTTCCTTCTCTAGGACGGTCCTTCCTGATATCATGACCTAACTCCATGAGATGTAGTCTTGCAGCGCCATCCATCCACTCTTCTAAGGAGCATTTGAACTTTGCTTCCTCCAAGACAGATTTTTGTTGTTGTTGTTTTCTGGGCAGCCTATGATATATTTAATATTTTCTGCCCACACCACAATCCAAAGGCCTCTGTTCTTCAGTCTTCCTTCTTCACTGTCCGGCTTGCGTGTGCATATGAGTGACTGACAATATCATGGCTTGGGTCAGGACTTTGGTGTTACTACTATTTGATTAAGTCATAGGAAAGATCAAGCGCTTAAATAATGAATTCCTATTATTCTGTCCTAACTAGCAAACATTACAACCTTACCACTGACTTCATAAATATACCCTAAACCAAATCAAACAAAAACAAACCAACAAAAACACCCCAAACCAAACTCACTGCCACTGAGTTGATTCTGACTCACAGTGGCCCTGCAGAGCAGGGTGGAGCTGCCGCTGTGGGTTTCTGAGACGGTAACTCTTTGGGGGAGTAGAAATCCTCATCTTTCTCCCAAGGCGGGGTTGGAGGTTTCAAACTGCAGCCTTGCAGTTAGCAGCCCAATGTGTAACCACTATGCCCTGGAAATCTTTTTGCTGGATCTTCTTCTCTCTGACTTCTCTCGCCATCTTGTTCCAAGGGGGGTCACAAGCTTACAAAATCTGAAAAAGTAAACTCAACTCACTGCCACGGAGTTGATTCTGACTGTGGGCCCTTATAGGCCCCTCTGTCTTGTACAGAGCAGTACAAAAACACACGAAACAACATGTGTTAAAAACAGGGGAAGCGAAGCAAGGAAACTAATATGAGGACAACAGTGGAGCCAGGACTGAGCTGAGCAATCATCCCATCACGATGCCCCCACCACATCAGAGCCACCCACAGCACACTCGACTTTTTCATCCCACGAGAAAAGAGGGCTCCCACGAAGTGACTCAACTGGCGGACCTTGAAGCAAACACAAGCTCCAGAAAAGGGTATCAGTTCTTGGTTCTAAAATCAGACAATGCTTCCTTCTCCAGCCGGGTGTATAAAGAGCGTCACAGGGTGCAATCTTGCATGCTTTGAACTGTGATTCCTTTCTCCCCTGGATGAGGACCCATTCTTCTTCATTCATCACGTGGCCCGTTGGAGTTAGTGATGATATTTCAGCACGTGTATCAACTGGTGTAGTCTCTCCTTTGGGGCACGAGCCACACACAGCAAAAGAGACTGCTTATTAGAAAGCACATGCCAGGCTAACCTGTTTCGGTTGTACGATTTATAGAAGCAGAGGATGGTAAGGCAGCAAGTGTGATGGAACAGATGCTCAACCTGCGGCGACATTTAATCCGGTCCCGCAGGAGTGTTCACTTGCAAGCCGAATGCAAATAAATGTGGACATGAGCTTCCTTGTGCGGGTTCCGAAGGGGCCGGGAAACTGTAATGAGACCTCGTGATCAACAACCCACATGCCCGTTCAGTGGAACCCAGGTGTCTGGAGGATCGCCTTGAGCACTGTGATATATGCCAGTCTGACTGCACATCTTCATTAATCATCTTCCCAAAGACAGAATAAAAGAGTACTCGGGAGCTTGGCTGGGGAAACCATCTTTGGAGGACAGCTCTAGGAGAATGGAAGGAAATGGTGTGGGCGTGGAGGCTGGCACAGAATAAAAGCCAATAGACTGCACAATTGCATGCCATTCCATGCCTTGCACACAGCAAATGCTGTCTGTATCTTTGCTAAATAGTTCACCAAGCAAATTATTTGAACCAACCCAACAACTCTATTATGAGGATTTACTATGATTCAGACACTATTTTACATGCTTGGAATTTATTACTACATGTAACAGACAAGGAGCTGGGGTGGTAGAAATGGGCAGAGACTGACAGAAAGCCCTTTACCCAATAAATACTCCATTTCTGCACATGACAGAGCACTGCAGAAGACGGCGAGTTCATGGGACCCGAAAGAGAAGCGGAGCAGAGCACTCAGGGTAAAGGCAGGTAGGGTAGCCTGGGGCAGCAGCAAGATCTGAGCCAAACCAAGACTTGAGGGTGGGAGGAGTTGGCCAGTTAGCTATGCCAATATCTGCATGCATATATTCCCTGTAGGGGAAGAGTGCAGCGGACAGAGGAACTAGCCGGAGCCAAGGACCCACGGAGCACAATCAAGGTCAGTGCTCACTGAGACAAGGTAGAGTTTGAGGAAATGAAGTTAGAGAGGCAACGGGAGACCAGATTCTATATGGCCTCTGTCCATTGTACGGATGGTAGGAAGTAGAACTACCCCTGTGGGTTTCCAAGACTTTACATTTTTATCAGAGCAAACAGCCTCTTCCTTCTCTATTGGAGAAGCTGGTGGATTTGAACTGCCAACCTTGCAGTTATGTATCTTGGAATCAGCCCAATGCCTCCCCTATAGCATCACCAGGGCTCCCATTAGATTCCCTTAGATACATTTAATGCATGGAAGGGCAGCATAATGATTTTCTATTGAAAAATCAATATTCACGAATACACAGGACACTGTCTTTTTAACCCCTTTGAAAGTTATGAATTTTCAAAATTCTTTTTCCAAATCTGAAGAGTATGTGAGAAACATCATTTTTTCCCAAAGTGCTTTTCAGTAGTAAACAAGCAAACACAAATGAAGACCACGTTGTCCTGTCGGGTCTCTGGGAGTCAGAATGGACTCATTGGCAGTGGGAACGAGCTGACTCGGAACCGACTCAATGGCAGTGGGCGGGCTAAGGGGGTCTAAATACTGGCGGCACTTAATGTCTGTCATCACTGATTGGGGGAAAAACCAAATAAACCCAAACCCCAACAATAACTCAAAAGTAATTTTTTCTTTAATTCAGAAATTTAAACTTAAATCCTTCTTAAAACTTGTATCTATATATCCCATACTCCATTGAATCTCATTTTAATGCCCTATGGTTTTTTATGCACAAAAGTCTTTCGTTGGCACTCTCTCATACTTCTCTCTGCCATAATGAAAATATATAAACAAAATATTTAAGTGAACAAATGTTTCCAACCCAGGGCTCTAAGTCTTGAACCGAGGTTCCAGCTTGATTAACAACACGCTGGCTATTAGTAGTAACTGGCCCTAAACATATCGGGACTGCAAATTTGTCAAAATCATGCTGCTTTGAAGAAA